TAATTGAAAGAATTAAGGTAAAGAAAATGAATGTAAGGATTGCGGAGAGCAAGGAGGCTGTCAGGAGTGGGTAGGGGAGTGTGTAGATCAAGTGTTTACATTGAAGCATATTGTGAACAGTAATTTATATAAAGTAGGGAAGGTTATTATTGCATTTTATAGGATTAGAAAATGGCATATGATAGAGTGATTAGAGAGCAATGTGAGGCAGATGTTGCAAGTATTCCGAAGGAATGGTAGTAAGTATACTAAATGCTGTAAAGAGTTTTTATGAAGGATAGTGAGGCTCAGTTAGGGTGTGTAGAAGAGAGGGGAGAATATTTCCAGGTAAAAGAAGGTCTTAGACAGGGATGTGTAAATTCACCCTATGGTTATATTAATATTTTAAATAGATGGGGATGTAAAAAGAATGGAAATGCTGAGGGTGTTGGGGAGAGGGAGTGGGATTAAATTATGGGAGGAAATCAAAACAAAATGAGTGAATTGACACAGTTACTTTTTGCCGATGATACGGTGCTTGATGGGAGAATTCTAACGAAAAAGGCAAAGGCGTTAGTGGATGAGTATTATGAGAATGTGGTAAAGGTAGATAAGTTGAAAGTGAACCATAGAAAAAGTAAGTGAGAGGGTATCAAATGATTTAGAAAAAGAAAATGGATATCAAATTGGGGTAGGAGTAGTATGGAAGAAGTGAATGTTTTCAGATACCTGGGAGTTTGACAGTAAAGGTCGATGGAATTATAAGGAAGAGGATAATCATATAATTGAAGAGGAAAAAAGGTGAGTTGTGCTTGAGGATATGTGGAGTCAAAACAAACCGTTATCTATAGTGAGGCAAAGAAGGAATGTATTGAAAGTATAGATATACCAACACTCTTTATATGAATGATAGACGCATGGGTGGAAAATGCCAGCAAGCGAGGAGAACGTGGAGGCAGTGTTGATGTCCTGTCTAAGGTCAAAGTGTGGTGTAAATATTATGCAGAAAATTCGGGTGTGGAAATTTAGGAGAAAGTGTGGAGTTAATAAAAGCTTAGACAGAGGCAGAAGAGGGGATGTTGAGGTGGTTTGGTCATTAGAGAGATGGATCAAAGAGAATGACATGGAAAGCATATAAATCTATAAGGGGAAGGAAAGAGGCGGGTAGGGGTCATCCTCCTCAAAAGGGGTTGGAAATAGGGGATAAGGAGGTTTTGGTGGGCGAGGGCTTGGACTTGCGCCAGCAAGCGGGTCATGAAGCGTGTTTTAGATCAGGAGTGCGAGAATGGAGACGAAATGATACTTTGGGACCTGACATCTGTTGGAGTGTGAGCAGGTAATATTTAGTAAGGGATTCAGGGAAACCGTTATTCATATAGTCCGACTTGAGTCCTGGAAAATGGGAATTACAATGCCTGCACTTTAAAGGAGGGTTTGGGATATATGGCAGTTTGGAGGGATATGTTCTTGTTTATCTTCTCTAAAACATATATGCCTCTAAATGTGTATTCTGAGACACCTCACTGCAAAAGCAGTGATTAATGTGTGAGTGTGCGGTGAAAGTGTTAAATGAGATGGAAGTGTATTCTTTTTGGGGAGTTTTCTATCTTTCATTTTTTTTTTGGTCACCCGCCATTCGGTGGGAGACGCCACTTGTTGAAAAAAAAAAAAAAAAAAATGTATAAATATATATATAGTATATAATATAAAATATATATATAGTATATATTATATATATATACATATATATAATATATATATATTATATATATAAACATAGATATATTATGTATATATAAGTATATATATATATTATATATATATATGTATATATATATATATATGTTATATATATATAATATAAGTATATATATATATATGTATATATATATATGTATGTATATATATATATATATGTATGTATATATAATATAGATAATATATATACATATATATATAAATATATATAATATAATAATAAATAAAAATATATTAATATATATAAATTATATATTATGTGTATATATGATTAAATATATATAGTATGTATATATATAGTATATATGTTTAATATATATATATATATATGTATATATATATATATATATTTAGTATATATATATATATATATAGTATAATATAAATACATATATAGATTAATAATATATAATATATGTATATATAATTAAATATATAAATATATATATATAAATATGTATCTATATATATATATATATATATATATATATATATATATATGTATATAAAATATATATATATATATATATATAATATATATATATATATTACATTTAATATATATATACTATGTAATATAATATATATATATATAAGTCTATATAATGTATGTATATATATATATTATATATATATATATATAATATAAATATAAATATATATATAAAAATATATATATAAATATATCAAACATACTTACATACATACATACACAGATGACCCTCGAGTTTCGATGATTAGACTTGTGTTTTATGGCGACTTGTCCGCCCATCAACCACCGCTCACAGTACCAAGCCCATCCCACCAACGCCATTCACGCTCGTGTGCCATTTGTTTTACCAACACATGACCATCACCGTTGTGGTTCATACAATACATTTCATAATAATCCACATGTTTTTTTGTGCTTGCAAACATGCTAAATAAGTCATCATGGACACCAAGTGAAAGCTAGTGCAAGCCCTTTGGAAAATAAAGGTGAGGAACAACGATCCAGAGAATTTGACGGGTTTGAGGCAGACCCTGTCCCGCCGACCCTCTGCCTTTGTGGAAGGTGATGTGGCATTGGGCAGTCCATGGGGTGTGGAGTGTGAGGACAGGATGTGACGAGGAAGAGTTGGGGAGGGACCACAGGTAGAAGAGCTAACCACTGACGAGCACTGCAGAGCTTCAACTGGAACAGCATCAGGCCACCCGAGAACTTGCCTTCAGAGGAGAAGAAAAGAGAGTGAAGGAGGTCTCCTTCATGTTCAGTGATTAAGGACTGTGTGAATGTGGAATGATTGCTACGTTGTTGAAAGTATCACCCTGACCAAGCAGAAACAAGCCATATCTCAACATGTACAATGACAAGTGTTGTGTCCCACCTTCTGGTAAATCTTAAAGAAACGCCAGAAAAAGACCTCTCTGGACAGATAATTTGTGCAACAGTGAGTCCAGTGACTCGTTCAATTAGAGGTGTTTATCCAGGGCATTAAAAAGAAGGGAAGGTAACCCCAGACAAGGACTTGCTGCCCTAAAGTCCCTCAATGGAAAGGAGATACTCCTTCAAACAATAGTGTACAACCTTCCTCCATATCCCCTCATTCCCCGTCATTCCATCCACCCAGAAGATCTTCAGTAAAGTCAAGCATAATGCTGATATTATTTTTTTATATGCATGTACTTGATTTCTCATTGAATAAGTATATCAATCTTTATTTAATTCGAAAAAAAATTTATTTTAAAATTATTGGGTGTCTGGCAACGGATTAAATTTTATTTCCATATTTCTTACAGGGAAAATGTTTCGAGTTTCGTGAAATCGACTTTCGGCAGGCTCATCGGAATGGATTAACTCATGAAACTCGGGGGTCCACATGTATTATATTTTTTTTTTTAGACAAGTCATCGTCTCCTCACCATTGCAAGGTTGACCCAAAAAGAAGGAAAATCCCCCGAAAAAGAAAATACTTTCAACATCATTCAACACTTTCACCTCACTCAATACACACAATCACTATATCTCGATCGCTGATGCCATTCACCCTTATGATCCCTATCTACCTCTTACTCTCACAGTGCTACAACTAAATAATTATTCAAGATAACCGTTGCACCCTCTATAAACATGCACATTCTAAATCTACCCATCTCCATTTATCAGCAATACATAGTCCAACAAACTGTTGTCATTTCACCCTATATCATATCTCATATACATATTTACTTCCTTTTTCTAGAAATTTATACTATTACTCAAAACACTTTTTTATAGCAGTGTTTCAGTCAAAGACCCTATAAATATCATTTATTTCCCTAGCACCCCAAACTTACTATTGGCCCTCTACAAGACATTTCACTCCACTTACTGAGTAGGTACCCTACCACAGTTACTCTCACTTGGTTCAAAACTCCTCTAAACACTTGCTTAAACATTCCTAAAATCTCTTTCCTCTTGCACTCCTCACTTCTGCAGAATGCGCAAAACACCCTTGACATCCATCCTTATGTTAATCCACATAATCCAAGAATTATACATTTATTTCCCTCTTTTCCTGCCATAACGTTGACCTTCAACATTACTGCTATTTTCTTCCTTAAGCACTACTCCTAACATAAAATCCCAGTTATTTCTTTCCCACTTGAAACACTCCTACCCATTCAGCTTTGTTTTATTGTGGTGCTAGAGCTAGGATATCAGTTTCTTTTCATTCATAACATAAACAATCATCTCACTTAATCGTTTCACTACATCCATGCAGATTCAAATATCCCAACTTCATCCATGCAGATTCAAATATCCCAACTTCATAAAATTTTCTTATTTTTAGTAATATATACAGAAGGGGTTACTAGCTCCTTGCCCTCAGCATTTTAGTTGCCTTTTATGACCCGCATGACTTATGGAGGAAGGATTCTTTTCCATTTTCCCATGGAAACAAAAGGAAATAAATTAAGAAAATAGAGTAAAACATAGATGGTTGTGTATTCATATACATGTATATGAACGTGTGTTGTGACCTAAGTGTAAGTAGAAGTAGCAAGATGTACCTGTTATCTTGCATGTGTATGAATCAGAAAGAAAAGTCACTAGCAGTCCTACCATTGTGTAAAACAATTACAGGTTTCCGTTTCACACTCATTTGTGGTTATGGTTGCATTTAACTTTTTTATTGTCAAAAGTGCTAAACAGTCTTATGATCAAAAGCACTTTTTAAATCTTACAACTTCCTTCTACTGAGCATAGCAACTGTCCATTTTGTATTTTATATCCTTTACAGGGGCACCTTCCGAATGGAGAGAGAAGATGGTTTTACTTTTGACTGTCGAATTCCTCCATTTTCCTTGGAAAGTAAACAGGATGACACCTCACAACCCAGTGGTATAATATAAGATGTTATGATATATAACAGTCAATCCTAAGAACTATTAAACTTTCTTAATACATTTCTTAGGTGCAAAAGAAAATTATATTGAAATCTTTATTTATTTGTGGGGCAGTGGGCCTCCAGCAGCAACAGCCTGGTTGACAAGGCAAGCACCAGACTAGCTTGGCCCATGGTCGGGCTCTGAGAGTAGTGAAACTCTTTAAACTCTTCAAACTATATTGTGCAGTTGCTTATACTTAATTATGTAAGTTAGGCCTTCCTTGCCAGTGAATTTGGTATATATACATAGTATCGCAACTAAATTATCTGTACGAATCTTGTTGAATTGGATGGATATTTGTCACTGTAGAGACCAGGATATTGTCTTTTGAATAGATTTATTATGCGGTTAAACTCAATAAACTTTTATGAATAATTTCCTCTTTATTAACCTCACATTAGGAATAAAGCCAAATAGAATGTAGAACTATATTTTTATTGGTTTGGGATAGATTATCAGATTTTATGTATTGATAAATCTATCTTGTCATGAGTTAATCGATGAATCATTTTAGGACTGTAACTATAATTCATCATATTGTATATTCTCTTTCAGTTAGATTATCAGATTTTATGTATTGATAAATCTATCTTGTCATGAGTTAATCGATGAATCATTTTAAGACTGTAACTATAATTCATCATATTGTATATTCTCTTTCAGTTAAAAAAAAAATTCTATTATATTTCCTTTATTGCAATTTTCACTACTGTAACCACTTATAATCCTGTACTATAGAGTAATAGTCCAGATTCTATATCTGACAACCATATGATATAGAGTAGAAAGGGGCACACTAGAAAGAACACATGTTAGAACCAGTTTAGTAGTCTTTTGATGCACAACAGTCAAAGGTGGAGAGAACCAGTTTAGTAGTCTCTTGATGCACAACAGTCAAAGGTGGAGACAGGGTGTGTACCACAATGTTGGGTTTTGAACTTTTGATTGAGAGTGAGGACTTTAACCTCTTGAGTGGATGAAGAGAGGAATGGTAATTAAGTAGGCATATCTGAAGAAGCAATGTACAATAATATATAGTACTTGCAATGCTTATGCACTGGGGTAAAGATATCTGAGGAAACAGGAGAGCCAGGTCAACGAGTGTCACAAAAATGTGATATATGGAACACTACCTTGTCAGAAATGAGCTAGTGCCTAATCATATGATACGACTTCACTTCTTGTAGATAGCAAATTTTAATCCCATTTAGACAGGGCATTGACAGGAAGACTAAGGACTAATCCCCAGCACAACAGGAGGGCACCATTGCAGTTTGTAAGGCTGCAGAATGTGAATACAGTTAGACATTGCAACTAGCAGTGATTTTTTTTTTAAGGGGGAAATGCTAAACCCATAGGATTATACAGTGCCTGTGGGGGGGATGTGGAAGGTATTCAGGCTTAATTCAAGGAACTGGAGCATAGATCCAATTCCCTAGATCTAGGGCCCCTCACCAGCATCAAGGAACCTTGAGGGGATCTAGCAGTGATGGCAGTGTTACACACCCTCTGGTATTGGAGAAATTGGGTGCTTTATGGACAGTGATTCTGTATCCAATAAATGATAGCAGTGTAGGGAATTCACCAAACATTTTTGGCTGTGTGCGGTTTGAGCACAAAAAAATGCTTCTTGCATCTTAGATGATATCAGGTCAAGTAATTCTAGTGGCCCAGTAAGAGGACTGTTATGGTGAATGCACCCTCAAGAGAGGTGCTTTGAAAGCTTTGGGGGAGATCTCAAGCCAAGGAATTGGATTGCATCTTCCTTCTGTTGGATTGAACCTGAATGCCTCCCATTCCCTAGGTGCTATAAAACCTATAGGTTTAATGCTTCCTGAAAAAAAAAATTGGACAAATGTGAGGAGGCATGTGGGTTGAGGGAGAAGTGGTACATGTAATGTGCCGACTGTACTGTAAGACAACTGGGAAGTCATTCAGTACTGTCTTCCAGAACGAAACTGACTAGAGGCCTAGTCACCCACTGATTACTGGGATAGGTGTACATAAGGAGTCAACAAAAAAGATAAATTCACTTCTCCCTACCTACAACAATCAAGGAGCCCAACAAAAAAGGTGGTAATAACCTAAGAGTTAATAAAGTTGTGCAGCATAAACAACAGCCACAAGATCAAGTGTGTATATCCTTCAGTCACCAGCCTGACTTAAGAAAAATGTCTGATTCAGCAGGGCCAGCAGTGAACAAAAAGTGTTTCATCTCGAGAACAGGATAAACTTCCATGCAAGCAAAAATGGAATATACAAATCTCCAGGCATGGCAAGCACACTGAGGTAGTGCTTAGTCTGCAGCTGCTGTGGCTCTAGAAAAAAGGGATTGTAATAATCTCCAAGATATTTTTTATTCACAAAAGAGTCAAACCTGTTTGAGTCTTAAAGCACTTACCATAAAGAAAATAATGGACAAATCATCAACAGGATGTCTTGAGTCAGTTATCCAAGCATATACAAAATCACTGCCCCTCCCAAACACAAGAAATGAATCTACCCTCAGAGGAGAATTGCATTATGTAAAAACTTCACCCTAGCCCAAAAAGTAGAGGTTAAAGATATTTATGGAAGTGGTTGTGTGGTCATGAAAGTGGAACAGATGATAGAGGTAGGGATATCTGAGGGAGTATGGAAGAAGTGAATGTTTTGAGATATTTGGGAGTTGACTTGTCAGCGGATGGGTTTATGAAGGACGAGGTTAACCATAAAAATGATAAGGAAAAAAAAAGGTGAGGGGTGCGTGGATATCTGGGGCAAAAAACATTATCCATGGAGGCAAAAAAAGGGAATGTACTAGAGTATAAGGTCCCTACCCTTAATGCGTGTGAAGCTTGGGTTGCAAATGTTTGCCGAGGAGGCGGCTGGAGGCAGGGAAATGTCCTGCTAAGGGAAATGTGTGGGGGAAAACTTTATGCAGAAAATTGGAGTGGGGAAAATTAGAAGGAGGTGTGGAGTTACTGAAAGAAATAGGGGTGAGGAGGGGTTTTGAGGGGGTTTTGGTTATTTGAGAGTGGTCAAATGAATGACCCGGGAGAGAGTTAAAATTTAGGGGATGGAGGGCAAGGTAGGGGTCATCCCGAAAAGGTTGGGGGAGGGGGTAAAGGTTTTTTGGGCGGGGCTTGGATTTCCAGAAAGCATGTGTAGTGGTTGGAGTGAATGGAAATGAATGGTTTTTGGGTTTGCTTGACGAGCTTGGAGTGTGGCAGGGTAATTTTTGTGAGGGTTCAGGAAAACCATTAGGGGACTTGAGCCCTGGAAAGGGGATACGTCCTGATTTTAAAGGGGGGGTTTTGGGGATATTGGCATTTTGGGGGGACTTTGACTGAGATTTTGAGTGCCTTAAAAGACAGTGATTATGTAGGTGAGGTGAAAGTGTTGAATGACGAAAGTATTTTCTTTTTTGGGTAAACCTTCCCTCAGTGGGAGATGACTGAGGTTTAAAAAAAAAAAAATAAGGTGTTGTGTGGGAAAAAAAAAAGTGTAAATTCAAACAGTGGAGAAAGATCAAGCAAAAAAAAAAATGGAATTATAAAACTCAAGTTACCATACTTTGTTAGGGGGCTTTAACTCCAATCCTTTGGGGGGGACTTTTTTGGTGTATTATAATCTTACAGCCACTGTTTTTGGTTAAAATCAAAAATTCTAGGACTTAAAATAAAGCAGGAAAAGGGGTAGGCCCACATGTAGAGAATGGGTCTGGTGGTCGTGTGCCCCATATAAAAAAAATCTTTGCAGCATCAGTGCATAATGAGAAAAAAAAAACTGACTGTTTTTTTTTAATTAAAATGCCGACTTTAGGGTCTATTTTCATAGTATTTATGGTTGTATGTGTTTTCGTTTTTTTTGGTCCATTTATAGAATGGAAAACTTTTAAAAATGAGGTGTTTTTTTGGTTTTATTATGAAAAGTTTTTTTAATTAAATCAAAAAGAAGCGCTAACCCACAAGGATATTAGGGGCGCGGGCAGGAAGGAACAGGGGCATAGGTGGCAAAATGGAGAGGGATGAGTAAGGGGTTTAGGTAACAGGGGGGTAGGGGGGGTGAAAGGGTAAAGGGCAAAGGACTGAACTAAAAGGGCTGAGGGGGGTGCAAAAAGTATCATCAGAGTTTGTGGAGTAAATCGTCGTTGTCAAAAGTCATGAGAGAGTCAGGTTAAAGGAGGGTCCACAGCAAAAAGGGAAGGAAAAGAGAGAGTGTAAACGAAGAGACGTTGGGGGGAAAAATTTCTGCGTGCTCGTTGAAAGAGAGGGCAGTCAAACAAAGTGGCAATCGAAAATGGAATTTGGACACTGCTACAGAGAGGAACGGGTCCCTCTCCATGAGATCCCCATGGGTAATGGGGTTGGGGCCCAAATCGAAGGGGGAAGGGGTCTCCCAACCTCGGCACTGATGACAAGAAGAGGCCAGTAACCTATGCTGGTTTAATGAATGAAGTTTTTTACCCAGCAGAGTTGACCAACGTTGTTGCCACGGGGCGAAGGTGGGGGAGCTATTGCAGCAAAATATCCAGAAAGAAAACCCCCGATAGGGGAAAATTGGTAGGTCATGTATGCTGACTGCCCCCAGATGTCTGCCTGTTTTTGCCCGTACGCGACATGACCAAGGGCCCCAAAAAAAAACTTTTTTAGTTTTGGGAAGTACGGCGTAGCCAAAATTGGATATGGGAAAATAGGGGGTGAATTATCAAATTTTTTTTTATAGCCCGTAGAGCATAAGGGAGTCTGGACTACTACAATGATGAACAGGATAGTTTCGATACGAATAAGTGCCAAGAGTGGCATACAGTTCGCAGTAAAAATGCTAGCTGAAGATAGAATGCCCCCCACGACGCTTGTCCCAAAACCTGCCCCGCGAACCGACGCCGTCTAAGACTTCGAAACCTTTTTGTACACAGGGTGGCATGAAATGGGGTGGAAGTGATCAGAAAAAGAGAGCGGGAAAACCACCCCTGGGAGTTGAGCTTTCAAGCAAAAGGGGTGAGAAAAAACAGACCCCCAACAGGGAACTTTCCCCGGGGGGGAGGGAAAAGTGAATGCTACATGAACATTAAAGGTGGGAATAAGGGAAAACAAGAGTGAATGTGGCGAAAGAAAAGGGACGGAGCAAAGGGCGGCGAATGAATAAAGAAAGTCTACTATATCGGTGACCATTTTTATAAATGGAAGGATTGTGTAGATCGGAGAGCATAATGTGCGAAGGCAAGGGGGTCACGGCGATCAGACAAGGTGGAAAAATTCGCTTCTTATAAGGGGTTCAACAGGGGGAAAAGCAAAAAAAGCACCCCAAAGGCAAACGTATTCCTTGGTGATGGATAGATTAAGGGAGAGATAGCAGGGAAGCCTCGAATAAATCTGGTCACCAAAACGAGT